TTAATTTGTAATCACTCTACAGTTCGCAATTATGGCCCGATCTTCACGAAATTTGCAATGTAGGTGGGGCTAGGGTCAGAATAGAACCCTATTTCTTTTGGAGATGATCGCATAATATTTAGGGGTTGAAATGGACCAAAAACTGAAAAATTTACTGATTTCACAGTTGCTGTACAGGTCGCAATTATGGTCCAATCGGCCCGGAAGTCTACCAATTTTGATGGTCATCGGGTAATATTTAGTAGGTAAAATAGACCATAACATTTGTGTTAAATAAAAGTAAAATTTTCCATTAAACCGCGAATATTTTTAATTCATAAGTAGACGAACAGGTCAATTCTGACCGTTACGTAGATGCCGATAGTAAAAATATCGGATATATATAGCGAAATATATACAATGTATATATACAAAGGAAGGGGGATGTTAGCTAGAATGCTTATATCTCCAGAATGGCTGGAGCGATTTTGACAAATTTTGTAAATTTAGAATGCCCTTTCGGCAGAAAAGTATAAAATCTAAAAAAATCGCATAAAAGATGCCAATAATGATGTTAATATAGATTTTGTAGTATTTTTTTTTTATTTTTTCATATTTTTTATCGCATGCTATTTTTTCAATTTGACTTACAATATTTTGTAACATTTTTTCACCTAATAACATCGTCCGATCCTCACGAAAATTTTCACAAGGGTAGGGTTGGGCTCAGGCCTATTGTTTCCAAAGATGTCCGCAATATATTCAGGGTTGAAATGGACCAAAAACTGTGCGTAAATATTGGGCAAATGTCCCTGTTCAAAATGCTAAGGGTAATATCTGGGCGGTGACATAATTTCAAAAGCGAAATCTTTCAAAATGAATCTGGACATAAAGGGGCTTCTAATATATTGTAGTGTTGTAGGGTATCACATGGTCGGCCCCGCACGACAATAGCCTTTGCTTACTTGTTATATTTTCGAATCGATTTGACCTAAAATGTGTTTTTAGGCTACTTTGGGGGTAGAGAACCACCTTTCATGGGCCTATTTTAGACAGTTATTGTATACTTTTTAATACATATGCTGTATTATTTAGGTTTTTAACTTTCAAACTAAAACCTCTTACTGAAAAATAAGATCAGGGTTTTTGAAAGACGTTTTTGTTTCTATTTAATCGAGTCATCATTTAAACTAAAAATTGTGCCACTTATGTGAGCCAGATTTGTGAATTATTATGCTTTTAAAACTATGCATTAAAGACTAAAACTACGGACCGTCAACGCCGACTGGGCCAGATAGTTTACTAATAAAATTTAATGTTTTTACTGAATTTTTTTGGCTTACTTTTTTTAGAAAGTATCGTTCTCTCTCGAAAGAGTTTACTGAGTATATATTAATCGAAAAATACCGGAACCAGAAGTTATCGGAAGGTACAGACCATATTAAACCATACCATGGCAGCCATAATTTGAAGTTAGGTTACAGATACACAAGTTACATTATTGGACTCTTTGATTTTTAGGGAATACAAATAATTATGATTATATAGGATTATAATAGGATTTTTTGCTATTCAACTCTGAAGGGCAAGTGGTACAAGGAGACAACTAGAAAGTCGCAGTCTAATCAAAAAATCTACTTCCATCTATTAGATTAAAAACATTAAGTAGTGGAAAATCGGAGGTGAAAAAAAGAAAAAAATACTAATTTTGCAGTATTAGTTTAAAAAAATATTTGTAATAACTTCATTTATAATTCATCATGAATTTTCGAAAATCATTGTAAAAAAAATATCTTCGAGTTTCAGGTCAACATTGTTTAATATTTTGAGAACATATTCAAATCCATTCCTTCACTTGTACAACCAAATATATAATCATCTCTTAATATCTTTATACTGATTACTGTAGCAGTTTAAATTATCATTTAATGTGTGTATGTGGGGATGTCAGTTTTGTTTTTCTATAAATATTTGATTAATTTATGTATAGCAAGTTGTTATTTCAGTAATTGTTTCTTGTCTATAGTTTCTATTTTTTTATGTTAATATATATCGTATGTATATCTTTCCTTCCTATATAAATTATGTTTTTATGATTTGCTATTTCTGTTATGTTTTTTTTTTTAATATATTAATAATATTTGTATTTTTTCGTTTTGTTATATAGGTTATGTTAAAGTTATTGTCCACCCATCCAGTTTTGTGTTTTCTGCATTTCCATTTTCCTTTTTGTAAGTTCTTTTTTTTTTGCTTTTTGTTAATTGTATATTTTGTTGTTTTATAGTTTCATAATTAATTTATAGTACTGCTGTGTTTGGTATTTTGTTTTAATAGAGAGGGAGAGTGATGATGAAAAAGTGAAATTATAAAAAATATATTTATATCAAAAAAAACATATCCATAATATAATATTAAAAAAAAAAAAACGTTCAACAAAGGCTTGAACATAGTATGTTGGGGTACAGTGGAACAAGGTAACAGAGACATTTCCACAAAAATTTTTCTTCATAACACCAAATAAATTGTAACGACCATTAGATCATGAAGTCTTAAAGGACAGATGCATACACTTAGTTAATGTTCGATTATTAAAATATATTTTAAATTCTGGTATATTTATTTATATATTTGAACATTTATAAAGAAGAATCCGAACGAATGAACCAATGTTGTCCTTTCCGTATCAGACCTAAATCCAGGGTGAGATAAAAAACTGGAACCAAATTCAGACTGCTGTCATTTCTAAGCCACTTGTCCGACAGCTGTTCAAATTATTCCAATGACAGCTCATTATATTGCTTACAAGCGTACCAACTCATTTTGGTAAGAATTTTTCCGAAAAAAAAGTTATTCGGGATGGAATTCAAGCGTGATAGTTTGATTTTTTTTATATTTGGAAGGAAAACCACAAGTGGCTATCGTTACACATTTAAATGTGAATAAATCTTTTGTGTCTCGTACCATCGCTCGTTACCGTGATACTGGTAGCGTAGCCCGACGTCAAGGAAGTGGACAGAAGAAAACAGCAACATCAGCAGAAATGGTTCAAAAAGTAAAGTAGCGACTTGATTGAAACCTCCCGTCGCAGTGGCCGAAAAATGGCTCGCGAGCTAAGTATATCGCAATATTCCATTCGGCAAATATTGAAAAATGAGATCGGGGTAAAGCCATTGAAATTCCAAAAAGTGCAAGAACTTACACCGCAACTGAAAGAAAATAGACTCAAAAGATCTAAAGAGTTGCTTCGCTGGGCCGAAAGGGGTGAACTGCCGAATTTGGTTGTCTCCGATGAAAAAACATTGCACCTTCGGTTGGCCACCAGAACTCAAGCGCCGTCCATGGTGATGGTATTATAAGTTTGAATGGGCCAGAATTTATGTAACACCTCGAAATATTGGTTTCCCATATAGGAAAGTATATATGGATCTTCCTATCTCCCCGAGCTGAGTCGATCTAGCTATGTATGTCCGTCCGTCCGTCTGTCCATGTTAATTTGTAATCACGCTACAGGTCGCAATTATGGCCCGATCCTTACGAAATTTTGCACCAAGGTGGGGTTAGGGTCAGAATAGAAGCCTATTTACTTTGGAGATTATCGCCAAATGTTTAGGGGTTGAAATGGACCAAATACTATTTAGCGGGTAATAATATTTAGCGGGTAAAATAGACCATATCTTTTGTATTGAAAAAATTCATAATTTTTCATTAAACCGCGAATATTTTAAATCTCGGCGAAATCACAAAGCCATGACAAGGTTACTTCTGATCTTTACATTGATGTTAACATCCAACAAAACGGATATATAGCAAAATATGTGCGATATATATGTCTATCAAAGAGGATATGCTTGAAAGATCTCTTATATGTCGAGAACGGCTGAACTGATTTCGACAGTTCTCATTAATTCAGAATGGCTTCTTGGCAGGAAAGAAAAAACGTCTGAAAAATCGCATAAAAATATCTCTCTAAAGATGAAAATATTGATTTTCTAAAATTTTCTAATATTTTTTTCAATATTTTCATTTTGAATTAAACATTTGGTAATATTTCTACAGCTAACAAAACTAAGTAGTTAGGATATCAGGATATCATATACAGACCGCATTTATGGCCAGATCCTTACGAAAGTTTGCATGGTATAAGATGAGGGTCAGAATAGAAGCCTACTCTTTTTGGAGATGATCGCCTTATATTTATGGGTTGAAATGGACCAAAAAACTGCAAAATTGTCTGCAGGTCTTAATTATCGTCCGATCCTCTTGCACATTTGAATGGGGGTTACCGGACATAACAAAAGGAGTTCGCCAACTTTTGTAGACAAAATACGAAAATGTCCATTCCAGCGACTTTTTGGAGAATTCACAAATACAGGAAAGACGCACTTCTGACTATTTCGTTAACACTTAAATGTCTGTATCTCATATAGATGCGTTTCAGTCAAAAATCAATAATAAATGTTAATATTTTACCACTTCTGAGAGATTATAGGTCTTTGGGAAATATTCGTTCCAGATCTAGGAAGACCATTTACGTGCAACATCTACCAATAAATTGGAAATGAGCAAATTAGTTTAAGTTGCTATTATTCGAAAATTAGAGAACGGAACCTGATGGTTTTCTTTTATTATTTGTCACAATATCTTGTGGAATTCTTTCGAGTATCTCGTCTATATAAAGTGTATCGTTTATTATTGTGTTGTAGGGTATTCAACGGTCGGCCCCGCTCGACTGTAGCCTTTGATTAATTATTTGTTTTCATTCAAAAAAAAAAAAAAAAAAAATTATGGCGTTTGGCTGATGTTGCAGTTTTTTATTGCACCCGGTATTTCGTTGGAAATATCAAATTTGAAATTTGCATTAAATGCGTTATGGTGACCATTAGGTCATGAATTACTAATCATAACTTTCATTGGATAACAAAGTGCTAGAAAATTTACTAAATGTTCCTCATATCCATGTGCCACTGTACCCAATAATTATATTAATTTTATACCTTTTTTTCTGTTCTTTTTGTTGTCGTTCAATACTTAAATAAAAGACCTGAGTCTATGGTTGTATAATCATTGTAATTGTTATTAAATTTAAAATCATTATAAACACTTCCACCAACACCAATGCGGTGATGATTGTGCTGGTCTTGACCACCTCCACCAATGCCGTCAACAGCAACACCATTACCGCCAATGTCAACATCAACATTGACATCATTATTAAAGCCATCAGCATCGAGATCATCGGAACCATCATCGTCGTCGTTGTCGTTGCCATTGTCCTCCACATCATCATCATCATCGTCATTATTATTAATATGGTGCAAATTATTAGCATTGGCTTCATTGTCATTATCGACATTATTATAATTATTAACGATGTTGTTGTTGTTGTTGCTGTTTGTTTCGAGCGGAAAATATAATGGTAAATTAAATTTAAATTCAACATCCGGTGTTGTTGACATGATGGATGTCGTCACGGCTGCTGGATGCAATGATGAAGGTGACAATGATGACAACAAGGATGAAGATGATGACGACAAGGACGAAGATACGGCCAAGGATGAAGGCGAGGACACGGACGACGTATCGGCTGCTGTCCAAAATATTAATGAAGGATATGAGGAGAAGTTTGCAATTGTCGTTGACGTTCTTTTAGCACCATTTGATGTGATTGTTGTGACAAGACTACCTTTTCCTGAACCGGCAATCAGTTCCTCCTCATCGTTTCCAATCTCATTGGCACTTTGTCGAAGTCTTCCTGCAATTGTTGCTCCGGATGTTGCTGTTTGTGTCGTTGTTGTAATTGTAGCCAATTTTAATTTGTTGGCTTTTCTACGTCCATAATTGTTGTTTTTGTTATTTTTTTGGCGGCCATGATTTTTCTTTTTGCTGCTGCTGTTGTTGTTACTGTAAGTGACCATGTCGATGTCATAGTTATCAACATCGTAATTGTTATTATTATTGTACAGAATGGGTCAACGAACCAGCAGACCTGTATCAGGTGACCATCGATTCGCTCTATAATACATATCCTTATACATTGTGGGACAGGCATTTTGATTCTGAAAATGAAAAACAGAAAAAGATGAATAAAACGCAAACATATTGAGATAATTGGTAACGGTAAGGACAAATAAATGAGAGAACAGAACATAAACAGACACGTATGAGGAATATATAAAGAGTTAATTAGGCCAAAGGAATAACAGAACAACGTATCAAGTTTGTGTGAGTATGTAAAAATTTGTAGTTACATTTCAAGGTTTTTTAACAATATGCCTTAAATGAGATATATGTTGGAAAATAATAAATAATTATGAAATTTTCCATAAAAAGGTAGGCGAGGAGTTTGGTACAACCATGTGATGCACTACATAAGAACTCATGAGGATGAACTTTCTGGAAATTGAAAAATGATTATTTTCCACTTTTACATAGCTATTGGACACAATAACAAGTTAAAAAGCAGTAAGTTCGGCCGGGCCGAACTTTGAATACCCTCCAACTTTAAGAACGAATTTAAAAATTTTCGAAAAATAAAATTCTTAAAAAATTCTGTTAAAATTTTAAAAATACCATAAAATACCATACTATTGGGGTCTATATGACGCGGACCAACATAGGCATTGTTTGTCATAAACAATTACCATATTCAATCTCGAAACTGGAAATAAACAGTGAATAATGTAGCTAAAATCGTCAAAATATCGCATATAGGGAGGTACCGTTATATCGGAGCTGTGCGAAGACCTGCACCTGCATAGACGATTATCTGTCACAGGCTGTAACATCCATTACGAACTTCAAATACCACATCTTAAACAATTTCGATGGGTATTGTACCTAAAATCGTCAAAATACCGAATATAGGGAGGTACTGATATATGGGGCCTATACGAAGACCTGCACCTACATCGACAATTTTCTGTCACAGATTGTAGTTCTCATAAGGAACTCCAAATACGTAATTTGAAACAACTCTGGTGAATAATGACGCTAAAATCATCAAAATACCGAATATTGGGAGGTATCCTTATATGGGGGCTATTAGAAGACGTGGACGTGCACAAACAATTTTCTGTCTTAAGGTGTAGTATCCATTTCGAACTTCAAATACCAAATACCTCCATAGTATGGAGGGTATATTAACTTTGTCCCATCTCGCCGAGTTGAGTCGTTCTAGCTATGAATGTCGGTCCATTTGTCTGTGCCAATTCTCACGAAATTTTGGATGGAGGTGGGGTTAGGGTCGGAATAAAAGTATATTGTTTTTGGAGATGGTCGCAAAACATTTAGGTCAAAATGAATCCAAAACAGAAAAATTGGTGTGAAGGTGAAATATGTCGGCCCACTCCTTCAGGGTAAAAATTTTGAATAACAAAAACGATTATGAAATCCGAAATAAGCATTCGGTTCTTCTCACACATCCTATTATTTCTACTAACAAAAGATCTGCTGTAAAGATGATATACAATAGTCATGAATCTCGTACAGCAAGAAATAAGCTTTTGATGTTCTTCAAATTTAACATATCTCAATACTTCTACTAACAAAAGATCTGCTGTGAAGATAGAATATATCGGTGCACTCCTTCTGGCACCTCCCCTACAGAGGGTCAATATTTTGAATATCCATCGAGCTCATAAAATGGGGAATCAACATCCGATTCTATTCAGACTTGGTACATCTCAATATTTCCATAAAAACAAGATCTGTTATTAAGATGGTAGAGATCGGACCATTTCTTCTGTTCAGTTTGTGTTTGCAGTTTCTAGGAAATATTCTTACAGAGAACTGTCCATGTAGGTACAAGTTTTGGTATGGTCCCTTATAACTGTATCTCTAGATGTTCGGAACGATATTTCTATGAGAGAAAGTTGCCTTTAAGTTCGTAATGATTAATATTGGGATTTCGGATTGAATACAAAATCCTACGCGAAGTTGGAATATATTGCCACACTCTGTCTGATTCACCCTTTTAATGCGACTACTCTCCACCATATAACTATATACATACAATTATACCGTTAAAAATGTTTTCATTTAATATTAGTTTTTTTTTTTTGTACGCTACATATGTACAGAGGACAGAATCTCAAGACATGTTGTTGTCTAGCCAACCAAAGAATACCGATGGGTGTCTCCAACTCAGATATTTTTACATAATGTTCGGAAAGATGAACAAAATCCATTTACTTGAAATTATCTCGATAATAGTCCTTATTGTTCCAATGTCTTAGAAACATTTCAACTAAAAGAACAGTGTTGGCATGTTTTGTTGTCGTAAAATGGTCAGGCCTAATCCCATTATTGTTGTTTTTATAAAAACAACGTTTGTTAAAAAGTTTTTTGTCATAGGAGCTATTTTTAAAATAACTCCTGGGTCGAATATTCCAGATAAAAAACAAGTAAAAAAGCTGTAAGTTCGGCTGGGCCGAAGATTGAATACACCCCACTATTTGGTACAAATTTGGCAATTTTCAAAAAATAAAATTCGTTAAAAATTCTGTTAAAATCTTAAAAATACCGATGTAGCCGTATATTAGGGTCTATACGACGACGAGGACCTGCATAGGCAACTTATGTCACAAGCTATTACAATATTCAAATGAGAAATTTGAAAAAATCTGTTTATAATATAGCTAAAATCATCAAAATACCTAATATAGGGAGGTACTATGTGAGTTATAAAACGTGGACCCGCACAGACAATTTTCTGTCATAGGCTGTAGTATCTATTACGAACTTCAAATACGAAATTAGAAACAATTCCTGTGAATAATGTCCCTGAATTGTCAAAATACCGAATATCGGGGAGTACCGTTATTCGAAAACGTGGACCTGCACAAACAATTTTTTATTATATGCTGTAGCATTCCTTACGAAATTCAAATTACACATTTGAAATAGTTCCGGTAAATAACGTCGCTAAAATCATCAAAATACCGAACATCGGGGGGTACCGTTATATGGGGCTATACGAAGACGTTGACCTGCACAGACAATTTTCTGTCATAGGCTGTATCCATTACAAACTTCAAATACCAAATTTAAAACAATTCCGGTAAATTATGTGGCTTAAATCATCAAAATACCGAATATCGGGTGGTACCGTTATATGAGGGCTATACGAAGACGTGGACCTACATGGCCCATTTTCTGTTTTATGTTGTAGTATCTATTACGAACTTCAAATGCCAAATTTGAAACAATTCCGGTGAATAATGTCGCTAAAATCATCAAAATACCGAATATTGAGAGGTACCGTTATATGGGGGCTACATGATAACTTGGACCTACATGGTCCATTCTCAATACCAAAAATTCTGCCGGCATAGTACACATTTGAGTAAAATTTCATTGACCTACTTTATTTCGTTCGGAAGCTAGAGGACGGACATTGCTATATCGACATAGAATTTTATGCTGATCTGAAATATATATACTTTGTGGGGTCTAAAATGTATATTTCAAGTTGTTATAAACGGAATGACAAACTTAATATCCATACTCCATACTATGGTGGAGGGTATATCAAGGGAACTGATGAAGATTGATGGCTCTTTCCGAAACCCAGGTTTTCCCTGCTTTTCTGCCTGGTAAACATTATCATTATTCTCCACTAATAAACAAACGTTATTTTTATAAAAACAGCAATAATGGGATTAAGCCTGACCATTTTGCAACAACAAAATATTTCAATTAAATTAAGAATCAGATTAAACTTCTGTTGGATCTTCTCTCCCCATGTAATTGACTCACTGGTTGTGTCAAGGGTTGCGATACGAACGACTTATGTGAAAATCGTATATTGACCAAAATTTACTAAATATTCCATTGAACGATCGATGCTTTAATATTATATGAATATGCTGAAATACGGTATAAATATACAATTTTGAGAAATACACGCAAGAGCAATCTTAAAATAATGAGCATTGGTAGATGATGTAGAAGGAAAAAATATAATGAAGTTATGTCGTTATATACCAACGAACATTTTGAATTTGCCATTCCCTTGGCCAAGTCTATTACATGCTTTTTAATTCATATATAACCACTTACCTTATTCCTCTTAAAGTCTATATTAGTCCTTACTGTTCTATGGTGTAAATTTTGCACGGGTCGTGCATTATTGCCTAAAGGAGCTTTCGGTGTTGTTTCTGAGCCCTGCATAAGTCGCCTCAGCTGGTATAACTGCAAAAAAAACAGAGACACAACAAAAAATCGTGAAATAAATCAAATCTGCCCTTTTTATTGATTTGGCAATAAATCGTAATAGCAATAATTATTAAATATTTTATTAAATACAATATTTAAAATAATTTATGTGAATTGAATGACATGAAATTATTCCACTACATTCCGTTTTTCAGCGTTACTTTATTGTGAAAAAAAAAAGAAACAAAATGAAACAATAAATAATTTACTCATAAATCATATTTAACTGACATTTCATAGTTGCTGCTGGTGGTTGTTACTTTTTGCCCGCGAAACGAAACGATGCGAAAAAAACCTCCAAACTAAAGTGGGGAAACAATTAAAAATATAACAAATTATCCATACTTAACACGTAATCATGTTGAATTACATTTCAAAAATAACAAACAATAACAATAACAACAACAGCAATTGATATAACAGTTTTAATCATAACAATAATATTACTAACAACACCAACAAAGAGTGTGGCGGCGGCAACAGATAGAAATATACAAAAATACCAACCGCCATTTATTCGTTTATTCAGGCATTTATGGTTAACAAGAGTTTTTCAATTTTAATTGTAACCACATTTTCACACTACCGCCATGTTCTGTCCTCCCTACCACCCCTATCACGGATATGGATAACAACATTCGCATCGAACCGCATTTAATATTAAATCATAATAATGCTACGGTTACAAAATTAAGTGGTTTATGTATTTGCATCAATTTGTTAAATTGTTACATGAAAAATGCTGTAATTATTATCGAAAAATACACAAACATATTTATGTGAAGTAATTAAGAATGAAATGATATGATTGCTGGCATGGAATTTTAAAACAATACAAACACACAATACAAACACAAACAGGGAATTGAGTTTCAGCCTTAAAATAGTTTAAATAAATTAACATCAAAAGGGAAACTACCAAAAAAATTAAAAAAAATTATTCGTGATGGAATTCAAGCGTGGTAGTGTGAGTTCTTTATATTTGACTGGGAAACCACAAGTGGCTATCGTTAGAGCACTCCATCATTTAAATGTGAATAAATCTTTTGTGTTTCGAACCATAATTCATTACTGTGATACTGGTAGCGTAGCCCGACGTCAAGGAAGTGGACAAAAGAAAACAGCAACATCAGCAGAAATGGTTCCAAAAGTAAAGAAGCGACTTGATCGAAACCCGCGTCGCAATGGCCGAAAAATTGCTCGTGAGCTGAACATATCGCAATATTCCGGCAAATATTGAAAAATGAGCTCGGGGTAAAGCCATTGCAATTCCAAAAAGTGCAAGAACTTACACCGCAACAGAAAGAAAATAGACTCAAAAGAGCTGGAGAGTTTCTTCGCTTCGCTTGGACGAAAGTGGTGAACTGCCGAATTTGGTTTTCCGCCGATGAGAAAACATTCGTTGTCCAGCAGTTTGTAAACAAACAAAATAATCGTGTTTACTTGCCAAAGAGGTCAGCTGAAAATGTGCACCACCAGAACTCAAGCGCCGGCCATGGTGAGGGTGTGGGCCGCCATAACAGCCGATGGTCGCTCTCCGCTCGTATTAATCGACCGTAGCATCAGAATATATGCCGAATATTATAGCGAAAATATTCTGGAGGGTGGAGGGTTAAAGCCTTGGGCATGCAAACATTTTAGCCGCAGACCTTGGACATTCCAACAGGATTCAGCGCGCGCCACCTAAGAATGGTTACAAAATGAGGTTCTTCGCTTCATTGTCAGCGCACAATGGCCACCAAAATCTCCGGATACCAATCCATTGGACTATTGTGTCTGGAGTATTTTGGAAAGCCAGGTTGGCACTAAAAAATACCGAAGTGCGGATCACCTCAAGCAAGCGCAACATTCGGGCAGTGTTTAACGATTTAATTGGTTTTTGAAGGCCATAATTCGTGCCTAAGGTGATTCAATTATTCTAAAATTTGATGCTATTTCCGATATTTTTTGCTTTCATTCAATAAATTTAAAAAAAAAATGTAAGAATTATGTCGTTTGTCTTTGTTGCATTTTTTTATCTCACCCTGTGTACCCTGCGTAGCCATATTGTTGAGGCTTTATAAAAACCGAATTATATCTAAGCTTTAAAAATCTACGATACTTGACATAGAAGTAGTGTGAAAAATCTACGATTGGTGTCTAGGAAGTCCTATTTAAATCCATGATTCTTGGCTTAAATATTCATGATTCTTCACTGGGGAGTCCTTCAGAAATTTCACAATTCCCGATTCTTGGTCTTTTAAAAATTATTCTTGGTTGGAAAGGTTTTTAAAAAATCTTAGTCTAGGAATTCATGTAATAGTCCTCGATTCTTGGTTAGGAAACCCTTCAAAATATACCTTTTTTATGCAGGAAAGTTGTTCAAATAAATCCATGATTTCTGAACAGAAGGTCCTTTAAATAGCCACGATTCTTTGCTATGAAGTCTTTTGAAAAATTGATTTTTGTGAAAAGTCTTTTAAACCATTTACAATTCGGGACTAGAAATTGGTTTATAAAAAAACAATGACGGGAAAGGCCTTTTTAAATCCATGATTCTTGCCTAAGGATCCATGATTCTTGGTTACGAAGTTTTATAAAATCGCAACCAGCCTCAGGCAGGGTGTCCTTTAAAAGATCAACGATTATTGGTTATTATATCCACTATTTTTGGCTAAGGAGTTCTTAAAATATCCAGAGTTTGCATCCAAATTATTGGTTATCAAGGCCAGGAATCTTGGATATTATAAACAATAACCGTGGATCATTTAAAGGACACCCTGCCCAAGACTTTTTAAGACTTCGTAACCAAGAATAATGGATTTTTTCAAGTACTTCTTAGCCAAGAATCGTTGATCTTAAAAAGCCTTTTCAGCCAAGAATTGCTGTTTGTTGAGGAATTCCTATCCCCGAATACTCTTAGCTGAGAAGTTCTTTGAAATAATTCCCAATTTTTGGGTCGGAAGTCCCTTTAAATAAGTACAATTCTTTACAAGGAAGTCAAAGTATTGTGAGTACATTCTGTGACTGAAATATTATAAATATCGGACAAGTAAAAAAGCTGTAAGTTCGGCCGGGTCGAACTTTTAATACCCTCCACCATTTGATAGAAATTTGGCAATTTCCAAAAAAAAAAAAAAAAAACTAAATAAATAAAATCCGTTAAAAATTCTGTTAAAATCTTAAAAATACCGAATGCTTATACGACGACGTGGACCTGCATAGGCAACTTTTGTCATAAGTTATTACAATATTTAAATGCGAAACTAGAAGAAAAATCTGTTTATAATGTAGATAAAATCATCAAAATACCGAATATCCCCCGTCCCGTTACATAGAGGCTATACCAAAACGTGGACCTGCACAGATAATCTTCTGTCATTATATGGGGCTATATCAAACCGTGGACCTACATTAACCCACTTTCAATATCAAAAGTCCTGAAGACATAATACACATTTGAGTAAAATTTTATCAACCTACTTCATTTCGTTCTTAAAGTAGAGTTATTTCCACAGACGGACGGACCTCGCTAAATCGACATAGAATTTTATGTTGATCAGGAATATATATACTTTGTGGGGTCTAAAATGTATATTTCGAGGTGTTACAAACGAAATGATAAACTTAATATACCCTCCATACAATGGAGGAGGGTATTAAAACAAACATTATTTGATTAAGAGCAATTAAAAAATATTCCAAATAATTCTTCTACAAAAACTTAAAGATTTGGAGATTTTTGGCCTGAAAGCTCTTTCAATAAATCTATATTATTGGCTAGGAAATCCTTTAATATTCCATTCGGCAAATATTGAAAAATAAGCTAGGTGTAAAGCCATTGAAATTCAAAAAAGTGCAAGAACTTACACCACAACAGAAAGAAAATATACTCAAAAGAGCTAAAGAGTTGCTTCGCTTGGCCAAAAGTGGTGAACTATCGAATTTGGTTTTCTCCGATGGAAAACATTCGTTGTCCAGCAGTTTGTAAACAAACAAAAGAATTGTTACAACATGAGGTTCCTCGCTTCATTTCCAGCACTTACTTTCATTCCATAAAATTAAAAAAAAAAAATGTAAAAATTGTGGCGTTTGACTTTCTTGCACTTTATTATCTCACACTATAAAAGGGAGTTGTCTACCTCATACCTGTTTGGAGGAAATCATTTTTGGATGTTTTGAGTGGATATAAGCACTTAAAAATTGTCTCCAGTTTGAACAGCATTTCCAAAACGTTATACCTCTTTTAAAAAGGGGTACAAATAAGACAATTTCTTTTCGATATGGGCTTTGCTCATGTAACGCTTTGTTTTTGCCAAATTCAAGCTACCAGAATATGCAACATGCAAAAAGTCTGAAATAACAAAATATACTATCGAAATCAAGTTCCCGAAATTCCCCTTTCACTTTTTGTTTGCATTGAATAAACTTAACTGGTTATTGAATTTATAAAATTCCCATAACGGAATGATTTTAATCTATTAATTTCAATATACAATTCTCGGCAAAATGCTGCATTACAAAATAACCAGAGAACAACAACGACGACAATAACAACAAAATAATAAAAACCTCATAAATTTTATACGCACAAAAATTATATTCAGTATCTGAATCAACTGAAAAGGGAATTGAATTGTTATTTTTATTTATTTTCATATTTATATTCAATGTATATGTATATATGCATATATATAAATATGCAGTGATAGTAATTTATTATATTTACCGCATCCATACGCCCACATACCCAACCACCCAGCCATCTAACCAAATAACCAACCAACACCAACACCACCAACAACAAATAACAACTGTCAGAATCGGATTGCAATGTATTCAATTAGAATATTCGATACTCAGCTCTATACGTGTGTTGGTACATGCGTTTGTATGGCCACATAGAACTGTGTGAAAACCATCAACATTAGCATTTGTTTGTTAGCTGTTCGACCACTCATATTTACCGCAAAAAAAGAATTATTCAAAATTTCGAA